TGATAATGATAATGATAATAATACGAGTGTTAATAATAGTACGAATGCTGAAGGCAGCCCATAGTCTCTTACACCACGCTGAGGTATCACAGGCGAGAGAGCCAGTTTGAGAAATTTTGTCTCAGCATCTCCTGCATAGCTGCAGGTAGTGCTGTTCATCGCACTGGAGAGTGGCATGCGGAGCAGGAACAAACCCCAAATCCCTAAACCTATATAGACCCTCCAGGAGCTGTGACACAGGATTCCAGATTTCATTGCTCGGCACCCGGAAGCACAGAGCCAGGTTAGGGTTTAGGGATTTAGGGTTTAGGGTTTTTGGGTTTAGGGTTTAGGGTTTGGGGTTTTTGGATTTAGGGTTTAGGGTTTAGGGTTCTCAAACTGCGTAGCCTTGTACTATAAGCGTGTTAACGAAACTACGGTACTATCCTCCAAAGACGCGGGTTCAGGGTTCAGGGTTAAGGGCACAGTTGCGGCTTCTGGCATCTTGCAGTTCCAGATTCAAAACGGTTTAGGGTACCAATTTGGGGGTCAGTTTAGTAGGTCAGAGACAGCACTTGAGGGGTGATCTTCGCCTTATTGGGGGACCCTTAACAGTGGACATAGTTTAGTTTAGTATAGTCCCTAATAGAGTCCCCAATAAGGAACCCATGTCCATTAATTATGCAGGAGATTTTGATTGTAGCTTATATGAATGACATTCTCTGCACTTCGGAAACACAAGCTTCTCTCGTGCAATCTGAGAGGCAAGGGGTTTAGTATATGCTTATTCAGCTCCTTAAATCCCTACATTCCCACAGTTTCCATTTCCTTTGCCATGTTCTTTTCCAGTTGCTTCTCCACTAATTATAGGGGTATAATACTGTAACTTAAGTTGTTAATCAGCCTATTGTGCTCCAAAACTACACCTGGCCCAGCCCACAGGGGCTAAGCTTTCTGAGTTTATCCTCTTCCGTGTTAGGGGTCACGTTGGGAGTAGGAAGGAGCATTTTTCATCGGGATCTTGGGGGTTCAAGCTGCATTTCCCACAATTCATATTTTCACACACGCATAGGCTGCAGAGACTGCACGGCAGGCAAGGCAGGATGTTTGAGTCTGTTATTATCCATGAATATGATGGTGATTATGACGGGTGATATTCTTATGTCGATTTCATTGTTCTTGTTCTTATTGTTGTGGTTTTCATTCTTATGCTCTCATGTGCATGCGTGGAAGTTGCTTGGGTGGATTGGTGCGGCCATGTTACAATCAAGAGCACCATTGTAGCTACCTTGACGCTGTAGGCTGTAGGAGAGAGGGGTAACAGCCGCCAGCGTCATGGACGAGAAGGATGATGGCTACGAGATTTTCTTGAAGTGCGAGCTGGAGAAGTTGTGTCTTGTCAGTCTAGTCTAGACGCAAGGTGCTTCCTTGTAATCCCCTCCCCCTAATATTAAACCCCCCCACGCGCCCTAATATTAAATATTCCCCATTGTGGTATATTACAATACTTGGGTGTATAAAGATATTAGGTGTAAAATATTAAGGGGGAGATTATGATTTCTGCAGGCAGTGAGCTCTCAGACTTCGCGCGACTAGCCGAGGTATGTCAAATTGTTGCAAAAGCATCAGGTTGAAGTGCAGCACGTGGAGGCATCAGGGCCTCAACCCAGACAAGTTCTTCAGGAAGCAGCCGGCTCCTCCTGCCCACCCTCGCGCTCGGCCAGCGGATTTTTGAGCTCAGTAGGTGTTCGCTTCGATTTTCCAGATCAGTCAACGGATCAGCAGCCGAATCAACAGCCAAAACTTCAACATTCATCCAGTCGGGGGTCCCTATCTTCTGTGGGCTCTGACAGCAGTTCGGGGCCCTTGCACAACTGGAAGGCCCTCACGTGAGTTACTGTTCCGTTAAATTATGTAGGAAATATTGATTGTAGCTCATATGCAACCCCCCATATATAACCACACTGTAATCCCCAATAAGGAATCCATATCCAGTAGTTCTTTGGAAAGTACCGGAAGGCCCTCACATCATCTTTGTTGGCAAGCCATGTGGACTCGGAGTCTGAGAGTGAAGATGAGCAAGTCATGTCCTATGTCAAAGACATACTGACCCCTGGCCGCATCCCTAAATCCCTATGATTACTGTTATTTCTATCGCGATTACTGTCACAGTCATGCGTAATACTACTCGGATGATTATTGTTATTGCTATTTCTATTCGTATTATTACTGTTCTAAACCGTAAACCCTAAACCCTAAACCCTTATCTTATTTTTGATAGGAACCCGAGCGCTTGCTTGAAGCCGACTTAGCGTCTGATTTGCAAGGACACTGCGTGCTCCGTGGAAGGGCGCCTTGCAGCACCAAGCTCTGAAGCGGGAGAAGACCCAAAACTTTGAAAAAGGCCCTGCAGTTCCTGGGTTGAGTTACCATACTTTGGGCATATATTAGGTGGACCCCCACCAGTAGTAGTGACTATAGGGGATAATAGGGATTATATTAGGGTCCTCTTATATCCTTAGTATACAACTATTACAGGGTGGGGGGTCCTCCTAAGGCATATATGGGGTTTAAGTTACCATGCTATGGGTAGATGGTAGCTAGTAGGGGTTTCCTTATAATCGTAATTGAATTTTCCTGAACAGCAACCCAGGTTCATGTGACCCGCATGAGAGATGCGTATATGGACAGCTCCTGCATTCAGCCACTGGTTAGCCGACCTAGCAGCAAGAGTCAAATTGCTTGGTCGCTCATCGGTATCCTTTTCATTGTTTGGGACATGATTACCATTCCACTGGAGCTCTTCGACCAGCAGGAGATCATAGTCTTCCAGATGCTTCCCCAGGGCTTTATGCAAAGTTCGTATGTCAGTCTGCTAGAGTCTGCTTGCATGGCATTTTCGTGCATGGATGTTTGGCAGGAGATGATTGATTTCCTGGTGGTTGTGGGGCGGTTCAGCTTCGGATACTGGTTGTTGGACATGCCTTTGCACCTCATCTTCGGGGTGGAGATCGACGGCCACCTTGAGCTGCGCCCCAAAATTTTGGTGAAGATGTACTTGCGCTCCTGGTTCTGCATCGATGCCATGGTCGTGGGCATTGATGCAGTGCTGATGCTCCTGGAGTCCTTACAGGCACTAAACTCTCCTACAGAATTATACTTGGGCTGTAGAGGGACTACTATGGGAATACATTGGGGTAATATGGAGCTAATGGAAAATAGAATGGAAACTACTGAACCCTAAACCCTGAACCCTAAAACCTAAACCCTAAAACCCTAAACCCTAAAACCCTAAACCAGGCACGAGCACCAGCCCCGGCCCGGTCCGCTCGCTACCTGCGCACGCTTCGGCTTCTGCGACTGTTGCGGCTCTTGCGCGTGGCTAAGCTCCAGCGGGAGCTCACCAAGCTCGCGAATCTGGGTTAGGAGTTCCTCCCAGAAGATTATATAGGGGTAAAATTGAAACTACTATATAACTACTATAAATATAATGGACTTGCTTTTAAGGAACTTGAACCCAAGAAACTTTAGTAAGGAAACCCCAGTATTTACTATGTTCCCATAATATAGTGATTTAATTTAGGTCCGTTAGCAGCGACCCAGGAATAGTTTCCTATCCACCTACACCTTCATGATCATGAGGGTGGTATCGGGTCTTTTGATGATCTTGGCCGTGAACCACGTCATTGCTTGCTGCTGGTATGGCCTCGGTCGATGGACCCTGGAAGGTGGCTTAAACCCTTAAACCCTGGATGGTGGCTGAACCCTTAAACCCTGGATGGTGGCTGAACCCTAAACCCCGGAAAATGGCTGAACCCCGAAACCTAAACCCTGGAAGGTGGCAGCAGTTGGCTTGTATCCGCTGGCATCGCAGATGCAGGTTTCTCTGATTCCTATGCCACTTCTATCCACTGGGCGCTTACCCAGTTCCTGGATTGCTGTACAGGATTTTAAGTTTCTAGAACAAGGGTCTGCAGTGCAGAATTATATCGGGCTATATAGGGATATAGGGTATAGATTTCAGAAACTTAGTTTAAGTTACTATATTGAGGACACCCTCTCTTAATCGTATTGTATATATATAATATACCCATTATAACTTAATCTAAGTTCCTGAAATGCAACCCAGGTTCACGCCAGCTACCAACAATGTCGCACCAGTCAACTTCGTTGAGAGGCGACTTGCCTGAATGCTGTTTTTTTTTTTGTGCTGGCAAAGTTGCAGCGCAGCCCCTAAACCCTAAACAGGAGGTCCTGGCAGCATCATCAGTAACCACAGCAGGCCATGTTGAAGCAGGTCTCGCAGGGTGGGAGATGTGGCTCAGCAATACGTGCTCAAACCATAGCAGCAGCGCGGATGAGAAGTCGTAGCCAGCACCAACACAGACTCAACATAAAATGCGTGCAGACTTTCCAGCAGCCCACGTTCGGGTTTCCTAAGCTTGAGCGAATGAACCACGGCCTAGAGTTCAGAGTGAAGGCGCATTGGAAAGGTCCAACAACCTGGAAACGGCCGAACAAGATAAACAAGGTGCTTTGCCATCCGGGTAGCTCTTCTTTCCTTATATCTCCCCAACATCCCGAGCTCCCTTGCACAAGCTGAACCCTCAACCCTGGACCCTAAACCCCACGCCCTAGACATCCCCAACATCCCAATAACCTCTAGAGTTCTCCCCTAGAAAATCCTCTATAAAAACCGCTTGAAGAAGTTTGGACTACAGCCCACATCAGGTTCTTTGCCGTTTGGGTAATCCTTCTGGCCATGGGCACCTTCTCTTCCTTCATCAGCTCAATTACGGCAACCGTTAGCACCTTAAGGGCTTCAAGGGCCGAGCAGTTCAAGCATCAGTCCTCCCTCCTGCGCTTCTTCAACGAGAGGAGCTAGGGTATATATGAGCTATAGTCTAAACTCCTTAAAGGGGGATTATATAGGGGAATATATAGGGGACTATTATATAGGGGTTATTAAGGGGGATACTAGGAGTTTAGACTATAGCTCATATGGTTTAGGGTATAGTGTTTAGGGTTTAGGGGGAGGTCTTCTGCAAGGACTCGTAGGTCTTAGAGGCTGGGTTTTGAGTTCAGCAACTAGAATTTTAGCCTCCGTGTCTTAGGAACTCGAGACAAGAAGTCCATAATCATTAGGTTGAAACCATGGGCCCGAACCCTGGGATCCTTAAAGACCTACTATATACCCTATATGTACCCCCAAAAAGCCCTAAGAAGGCCTGAGGGCCCATATAAGGGGCTAATGTTGCGTTCGGAGTGGTGGAGTGTCACCTGATCTCATGCGAAACGATGGTGTATCTAGAAATAGTCCGCAATTGGCTTAATTTGCAAGGTCTGAAAGCATGACGACAAACAGTTAGGTTGAAGCGCCCCTAAGCACTAAACCCTAAGCACCTGAATTCAGGGTTTTGGGTCTAGGGTTCTGAAGCCATGAAAAAGACAGCTGGGTAGGCCCGGGTAGGCAAAGGCACCTTGAGATGCCCCTCCTGTCTGTCAGGAACCTATGCACCGAGACATATGCCAAGATCAATGATGCCTTGAAGAGGCCAGGAATATCTTGAAGGTTCAATTGAATAATTGAAAGCTTAGGGTGTAGGGTTCAAGGCCTAGGGTGTTGGGTTTAGGGTGTAGGGTTCAGGGTTTCCACAAAGAAGGGGGGCCCTGGCACGGGAACCCCCCCCCAAAAAGAGGGACTCCTGACTTATGGAAATCTCTGTGTTGCTTGAAACCTGTATGTTCAAACCCGGCTTTGCGTTGAGGGCTTAGGACTTCAATGACTGGGTTGCTGTTAAAGAACGCAATTTAAGTTGCTATATTGGGCAAACCCTACAATTTACTATATATATATATATGCATACCCGTTATGGTAACTGAATTTAAGTTCCTTAACAGCAACCCACTCAACGGCGTTGAGGCAGGGAATGTACGACATCCGGTTGAAGGAGAATGAGGTGGCGCTGTTGAGCGGCGTCCCGGAGCACCTCAAGGCTGTCTGGTGGGATTATATAAGGATAATGGAAAAGAAAATGGACACTATTATATTCGATTATATGAGGGTATAAGTATATGTTGGGGTTGTATAGGGATAATGGAAAAGATAATGGACACTATTATATTCTTTTATGGTACCCTAAACCCTGATAGTAGTATATGTTGGGGTTATATAGGGGTAATGGAAAAGAAAACGGAAACCACTACGGGGGTTTAGGGTTCAGGGCTTATGTATGTTTAGGTACTCAAAACGTATCCCCCTTTACAGGGGCGATCATCAATCATTAGGTTCAGGGTTTGACTCAAAACCTAACTCTTTTTACAGGGATGCTAATTGCCATTCTTATTTTGGCCACCGCAGGTAGATGACCATCTTTTTCAGTTCTCAACTTTATGATGCTCACATTTTTAAGGGCTGTAGTCAGCCTAGACCCCAAAATCCCTAAACCCTAAACCATGGTCATTGCATGATCACTGCTGCTATGTCATTTTTTTTGGGGGGGTTTAGCCGCCTCATGATCTCCTTGTATTTCCTAGGCCCTCAGTTCACCTCAGCCTGAGTAAGCCAGATCCCACATCTGGGCGAGGGAATAAGGGAATATGTGATTTAGGGATTATATAGGGATTATATTCAACTATTCCCTAATAACCACCAGTAAGAAGGTGATCCCCCATGAAACCCCTTAACCCTAAACCCCAAGGTGATCCTCCATGAAGAGATGTTCATGGGCTCCATGACTTCGCTATGCATTTGGCGGCACTGGAGCCACGAGGACGAAACCAAGCTGCCAAGGCTCTGTAGACGGGGCAATTCAGGAGGCCTAGGAAGACTTGCCGTCGCTGTTGTGTTTATGTATGCCAAGATTTTTTGTCATGGATGCCAAGATTGTAAGGGTAGATTTCTTGATGTGTTGCTGTATCGTTGCCAGTGCTAGCGTTCTTAGGTAGCTAGGCAGGGATATATCAGCGATTGCGGCCTTGGTGGCCGCCTTGCCTGTGAGCCTAGCTGAGGATATTCTGATACACCGTCAGATTTGCCATTTCGCCATGGTGGAGCACGTGGCCACACCAGGAAACGATGCCTTCATGCCTGGCACGGATTGCACAGAGGTCTATATTCTAGAGCAGGGACTCTCGGCCGTGTTTTTCAAGAAGATCATTTACAGTAATAATAGCAATCATAGTAGCAATAGTAGTGGTCGGGTTTAGGGTTTGGATCCATGGCACAAGGGATCCGTCGCAGTAGTGGTCCGTCGCAAATCCTTGCTAGCCAGAGGTAAGATCCTGGCCGTACAAAGCTTGTGGCTACCATAGTTGCTTAAATCAGGACATTTGAAACAGGAACAGGGAGTAAGACTGCTTCAGTGTCTTTGCTATCTCTGAGCTGCTTGCAAGACCCCCATTTTTGAAGCAGACCACAGCAACCCTAAACCCCTAAACCCGAAACTCCTAAACCCTTATCAACCCTAAGCCCCTAAACCCTAAACATAGCCAGCAGCTGAGGCAACATGGGCTACATTGCAAGGCCCGGAAGCTCCCTAAAAAAATAACTTCTGCGAATTATCTTCAATCTTAATAATCAGCAAATATATTCTGGCATCTTACGGTATATTATAGTATATTATGGCATATTATGCTATATTCTAACACATTATGGTCCATCATCATATTAATTTCTTCCAGGGGTTCAGGGAACTTAGAGAGGCAGTTTGGCACCTTTGAGTCTGAGTTCCTCTCCCCGGGTGAAGTGCTTTGCTTGCCGTGCTTCCGGGCTGCTGTTAGGGAACTTAGATGACGCGATTTAGGGCTTTAGGGTGTTTTCACCAGGATGGGCAAGTTGGGCTGGTACTCAAGACCCACTGCGAAAAGGTATTAAAAAGGAGGAAGCCCTGTTAATCGCTATATACCCATAGTGTGGCCATTATTTTGTAACCCTAAACCCTAAACCCTAGACCCTAAATTTTGTAGGGTCCCTAAACCCTAAACCTTAAACGCAAAACCCTAAACTTTAAGTTCGTTAATGGCAGCCCAGGCTTCTGGGCGGAATGGCTTCACCGAGGACGCCTCACCGCAAACGGCGGCACGACGGCTTCTTACTGGAGGTTATATAGTAGGGAATATGGGTTGGTTTAGGGTTCAGGGTTTAGGGGAGGTTAGTAGGGAATATGGGAGTCTATTATAGAGGGATACTAGAAAAGAAAATGGAAACTACAGGATTATATTAGGGTATATATTGGGGCTAGAGTAGCGAATATGGGCGTATACTATATAGGGATTATATTCCCATATTCCCTACTAACCACCAGTAAGGCCTACTACAACGGGATCAACTGCGAGAAGTTTTGCAGCCTTGTGAAGCAGCATGGATCGCCTCTTTGGCAGTACTTGCAGATCTATGGCATCTTGGTCCCTGGGTCCTTGGAGAGCAACATGTTGCATTTTTTATTTGGGCCCAATGCAGATTAAACATGATCATTCTTAATAGTACATAAACACGAACCCAGGTTATTGGGGAGATTGAGCATCTCGATGCAGAGGACATCTTCGTCACCGACAAGTCCCTCCGAGCGGCTAAGATGGACGACATCGCGGCCCGCGCCAGTCGCTTTGGAGAGATGATCAACTCACGCCATGGGCATCAAAAGGCTTCCTTTATGGCTACTCTGGGAGCTGTGGGGCATCATCACCGTCACCCTTCGAAAAATTCAGGGAAAACCAGTGAAACGGCAAGTAGCCAAGTAGAGAAAGTCATACATCTGTAAGCAAAGCTTACAGACTTGTCTAGATCGTTTTGCATTCTTGAGTTCTTAAAAATTTTCAAAAGCAAGCTCGGCAGGCACACTTGAGTGGTTAATTAGTAGGGACGTCTAGATCCCTTCCTGTGGCTTCCTAAACCACTAGATTAGATGAGTAGTATCTTATTTGGGGATACTATGGTACCTACTGACTGACGTCCGTGAATAATACTATGGCACCCAATATAGAGTAAGATTATATCCTCCTTTGGGGTATAGTACTTACATAAGGAATATTATCTTACTACTGGTAGGTTCAACCACCCAGAACAAACACTACTTAGATCGAACCAGGGAAGGGAGGAAAGGTCCAAAGCAAGTAAAGACGGCATCTCAGTTATCAAGTCTACGCTCAAGCTTGGAGCTTGCATCACCTATCTTTGTCAACGCCTGCCGCAAATGTAGCGCTAATGTGCTGCCGAATACTCGGTAGTTTCCCAAAATAGGGGAACCCCAATATAGACCCCAAAATATTATGAGCCTTATTATGGGGACCCCCAAACAGGTACCCCCCCAATGTTGGGAAACCCCCCTTTGAGGATACTCAGCTTCACAGCCTGAAGCTGCTTGTGTTTCTTAGGAACATTAGCAGCGGATAACGACAAAGACAATTAGACGTTGGACCACCTGCCGCAGCTGCAAATGGCAAAACGGACATGAGCACCATACTGGGCACCCAGAGACGTCGCTTTTCTTCAGGATTTTGCTACTCATATGTCATATGAGTGGAAAGTCGCGAGTCCTCCAGGGTATAGTGCCCCTTAAGTCGATAGAATATGGGGTATATGAGGGGCTGATTAGAATATACCCAAGGCCATATTCTATCTACTTCAGGGGGATTATAACTGCAAAATATACCCCAGACCCTATTATAAGAGAGCAAAGGGGGATTAGATGCGGTCTGCTACGTAACTGAATGGCGCAAGCTGTCGCACCCCCAGACAGGCCGGCAGACTACGGGTTCGCGAAGCCGGCACAATGCTCAGAGATGCTCCTTTTTGGGGGATTACGTATGGGGAACATAGGGTTATTTAGGATCATGTAGGGTTTAGGACTTAGGTTTTAGGGTTTAGGATTTAGGGTTATATAGGGGTAACACAGGATTATGTCGGATCATATAGGGTTCTTTAGGATTACGGAGGATGCCATGCTGGAAAAGCACTTCCTAGGGCACTAATTCATCAGCTCCAGCCTCAGCTGCTGATGCTGATTTTCATCCCTTTGCCTGATGAAACCCTAGACCCGAGACCCTAAATCCTAACTCCCTAAACCCTTAAACCCTTTATCCTAAACCCAAAATCTCAAACCCTAAGCCTTAAATCCTAACCCTTAAACCCTAAACCCAAAATCCTAAACCCTAAACTGCAGACGGGAACTTCAGACCTGGTTCTAGGTGGCGGGGATGAGCGTGCGTAGAGACTAGCTGGATGATCTTTTTTGGGGTTCAACAAGTACTCCCCTCTTTACCACCCCCCTAGGTTCCCCCCTTAAGGTTATTTAGGGATAACTAGGTTTAATTAAGGTTGTTGAACCCATGATCTTTTGACTTAGTAAGTCTACCTGCTAATCCCCTCCTCGTAATATCAAACCTATAGGGTTTAGGCTTGGGATTTAGGGTTTAGAATCCCCTCCCCCTAATATCAAACACCCCCCCACCCTCCTAATACTAAATATTCCCCATTTTGGTATATTTTAGTATGGGGGGTTTCATGTTAGAGGGGAGGATTATCCCTGATTACCCCAGCTTAAAGGCTCTTCTGATGCGGATTTCTAAGGTTAGAAGTATGCGCCCCTAATATGGGCCCTTGGGCCTTCTAGGGGGATCTTGGGACCCTTAAGGGTGCAAAAGGGTATACGGTATTTAGTAGGTATAATATAAGGATCCCATAGTCTCAACCTTGGAAGATTGCGCTCCCTTTTTGTTGTAGCTGTCTCGGTCCCTGTCGTCAGGGTCTCTTCGGACCTGCTACTTCTGCACAGGCAGGGAGTCTCTGTTTGCGTTTTTGCACAGCACGGCGAACGTCAATTTGCAGCCCCCCATGCATCTGCAAGTGCCCACTTGCAGCCCCTGATCTCTACCTACCGTATACTACATACCCTATATGTACCTTCAAGGGTCCCCAGAATCCCCTTGACGTACGTGGTGAGTTGAGAATCGAAAGCTTCCAACACAGGAATATGCGAGTATTCACGCAGATGGACGGCCAGCTGGGCAACAGCCTTGGCCGCCAACAGCCGCAACAAAGAAATGCAAATCACAAAGCAAATTTGCCGGCAATGTGGATGGCAAGCAAGAAGCGCACCCTTCACGATTTGCGAAAAAGCTCACCATACCCACATACCAAAGAAAGCCAGCGCTTAGGGGGCTTCTGCGGACACGTAGCTCAGCAGGGTGTAGGATTTAGGGGTACATGTGTCTGTAGCAAGTTATATAGGGATACAGAGCCCCATAATGGAGAATCAAATGGATGAGGAAATTGAAAAGAAGATGAAAATTCAAATGGAAGCTGGGGTGTTGAGGGGTTCCTGCAAAGAATCCGTGCCCGGTCAAACTGGCAAGGACTATTATTATTTCTACTTTTTTTTGCAGCACACGCAAACAAACAGGCAACAAAAGCTCCTAGAACGCCGATTTGTGTGGGTCCGGCATACAAACGGCACAAGGACCTACTCCACAGAGTTTGCTGCTGGCCGGCATTGCCGGGGTTTCGGCTTCAGGTTTAGTTTGGGTGGAGGCTGTCGCTTTCCGTTTTTGGCCGCGCCTTGCACATCTCATCACCTCTAAGTATGGTTGGCGCAGACAACATGACCTCCTTGGTGAAGGGGCCGAAAGAGGCCTACCTCGTCCTGGCAGAGAAAGGACGCAGCTTGGCAGGTCAAGTCAGTAGTCACAGACAGCAGTTTGGGGGATGCGAGTAGTGGCAAAGTTCCACTTCTTGGGAAGTGCCA